AACCATTTTCAATACATCTTTCAAACACACCAACACTTTCAAACATGAAATATTTTCAAAAATTCAAACACTTTGTATGCATTCTTATAGAGATGAGAATCATTACAAAGTTCGACTAAACATTGGCACTTTTCAAAAATACTTTCAAAATCCACCACAAACACATTCCAAACAATGCAATTTCAAAAGTGATCTAGCAAGCAACTAAGATCACATAGATAACTATGGATGAAAAGCGTGCTAACACCTTCCCTTTTCATAACCTACCCTCTGAACTCAATAAAACATCTTAAAGGCCTTTCCTGTTCTTTTCACCCTTTCCTTATTGGATAAAAGAAAAGTCGATGGTGACTCTTGCTATCCGTAATAATTGCGATCAAACGCAAAACATCCAAGTCAATTCTCCCACCGTATTACAATACCTATTAACTAAGAAAGATGTTAAGCCTAGACTATTAAGGTGGATCCTGTTATTACAAGAATTTGACTTAGAAATCAAAGATAAAAAAGGAACTAGAAATGTTGTAGCAGATAACCTCTATATACTCAAAAAGCTAAAATCTAAACAAGGGCCAATCAATGATGACTTCTAATACGATAAACTTATTGCACAGTTAGAAACTAACGAAACTGAAGGTTATCAGCATGTTCTAGAAAACCCAAATTTTGAAACTAAGGCATTAGTGGAAGCAACCTTAGCTCATTATGTTATACCATGACATGTTGATTATGTAAACTACTTAGCAGTCGGTGTTCTTCCACCTTAGTTAACCTACCAACAAAATAATAAATTTTTCAACAGCCTTAAAAAGTATTACTGGGATGAGCCCTTTCTCTTCAAGAGAGGCCCTGATGGAATTTTTTGTCGTTGCATGCCCGATGAGGAGATAAAAAGTATTATAACTCGTTGTCATACTGCGTTTTATAAAGGCCATGCAAGCACGTCTATAACCTATGCAAAAATCCTACAATCTGGCCTCTATTGGCCCAACTTATGAAAAGATGTACACGTCGCAGTTATAAACTGTAACCATTGTCAACGCACTGGTAACATCTCTAGGCAAAATGAAATGCCATTGAATAATATCCTAGAAGTAAAAAAAATTGATGTGTGAGGTATTAACTTTATGGGGCCCTTCCCATAAAGTCACTTTTGGAAATGCCATCTCTGCTAACTTCTTAACTAACTTTAGAGATGTAGAACGTAGATAATATGGTTGTCACTTTGGAAGCGAGGCCCTGTAGCGATGTTATAAGATTCTTTTTCAGAGATAGATGGCACTAACAAAAAATTTCGATGGCCCTACCATGACTGCTCTTGGTATTAGGGAAAGCATCTATTACATGTTTAACCAAATAGGATGGGAAGATCTTATTAGGAAGAAATGACCCACTTACCATAAGCTGACTTTAGAATTCCTAAGCTCCATCACTTATGACTCTAACCTTGTAATGGGAATAAATAAAGGAAGGACTTATTTTAGACTATTTGGGTTTACCTATCGCATAACCATTTGTAAGATTTTAGAATTGTTAGGTTTTCCTAATGGACTCGATGCTTTCACAGATATGCGGGAGTATTTATTTATGGAAAATGAACTCAACTATTTTTGGGGTCAAATTTCTGGCCAACATCATCATGATACAAACCCAACACAGTCCACCCAAATCCAAAACCCTGTTATCCGCTACTTCCACGTGATCTTGGCTTTTAACTTTTCCGGAAAACCCGGAGAATGATGCCTTAGTGTCTATGGATGAACTTTTCATTATGTTATGTGTTTTCCAGTCTAGACACATAAATGGTACAACCTTCATGCTTGCTAACTTACCCAGTATTTCACAAGTTACTCATGGCCCCATCCTGATCGGTGGTCTTGTTTCTATGATTGTCAATGCTTTAGCCTTAAGAACCCCACTTTCATGTCTAAACCCTTTAGGAGGCTATCACCCAATGGACATCATTTTCTGTTTCAATACGGGACTAATTGGAAAACTTGATCCTAATGATTTTCAACTATTAGTAAACCATGAGCCTGTTCATCATTTCATATTTCCCAATATTAAGAAAACTAGTGTGCACGACAAAGATAATTGCCTTTATGATTTAGAAGGACAAGACGACACTGACCCCGACCCTGAGACCCCTCTGCTCTACCACTATTATCCAACCCCAAAACCTACCACCCCTCATGTTGCCTCTTCGGTCATCCCGCCACCTCCAGTTGACCATGTTGTTGCCATTTATGCTCTCTGAACCGAGTTTACCACTCTTCGTCCCAAGGTCACTACTCTTCGCCAGGATTTCTATGGATTTATGAACATCGCACATGAGCATTTTGACCATCTTTATCAGGAGCTTCACTCTTTAAAGATACATTACCGCCCTGCCGACATCCATCGTGGTTGATTATTCATTTTACCATTTTTCTCGTCTCTACACTTAAACATTGTGGTCACTGTTTTGTTTAGTTGTTAGAGGAGATATATATTTTTTTGCTTTCCTATTAGGATTTTTCTTTTACCGTTTTCTAATTTAGGAATTTCTATTGTTTTCATTTCATCTAGCAACTCTTTAAGTTTGTAGTTTACTACCCTCATCTCAATATTTAATTTTTTTCTCTCAATTAATTCTTCTTTTTTTACATTAGTTAATTTTAACTTTCATGTTTTTATTTCAATTAATTCTATCATTATGGTCAACAACTAACAAGTCCATGGTCCAATAAAAATGCATGCAACCCTTGGTCAAATGAAAATGTAGACAACCCATTAATGCTTCTGCCCTCACCAGTGTGGCGACCGCAGCACTCGTTGCCGCCCACCATTAATTCCTCTATAGCACCCTCCACCTTGCCCATGCGTCCGCCACAACTTTCCACCCCCCTCGCGTTATCACACACAACCTCCATCATTGACAATAACATCTATAGATTGTTTGCCCTTGGTAAATTATTTATACACCTTGCTATTAATAGAACATCTTATAAATATGCTTTCTTCCTTACTTACCACATATTCATATAATGTCTCACACTACTATAGAAAAGGCATTCAACAACTGTTAGGAAAGATAAATAATCATGTGGGACCGGTCGTTGTTATGTAGTGTGTGTTTATATATGCGTTACTTACAATCATGGTCCAATGACCATTGTAGAAAACTAGAAAGCGTGCGTCCAATCACAATGGTTGAGCCAAATAATCGTTGTGATATACATAAAGGTCTTAGGTTCGATTCTCAACAACACCGTTTTAGTTTTATATTATTCTGTAAAGCGCGTGAGATATTACAACGGTTGTGTTATTTAATCATTGTGAAATTTTCTGCAGAAGTAATAAATTTAATCCTACTTTTATAATTTTTCCTATTTTTAACCTGTATTTTTGTGGATCATAACACAGCAGAACAAACAATTTGTATTTGTGATATAGTTATCATAATCATAATAATAATAATAATAATAATAATAATAATAATAATAATAATAATAATAAATAATAATAATAATAATAATAATTGTATCATAATAACAATAAAAATTGGATTAAGAACCAAAAATTGTATATTACTTCAAAACAAAAATGTCACAAAACAACATATAGTTTACACATTACATAACATCACATAATTGTATCTTGGTGTTTTAGTTTCTTGTCTCTAGTTCTCTTGTCTATTGGTGTCTTGTCTCTTGATGTCTTGATATAATATAAAGACCTATGATTTCAAATAATCATATTTGCATTAGTAGAAATACGTGGAAATTAAACATACAATTAATATATTATGAATAAAGAATAAAATACTTACTTGTTAATTTTCCCATATTCTTCTTCATGATTGATTCGAATAGCATGTACAACATATCCATCAACTTCATCATATGAGGTAGGAACTTGTTTTGTATAAGAAGGAGTGGAAGGAATATAAATAATTTCATCACTAAGAGAAATGTGTTTTCCTTGGAGAATGATTGACCATTTCCCCGACATGTATGAAGAATCGGTCACATAGAAAACTTGTTTTGCTTGAGAAGCCATGATGAATGGTTCGTTCATAAAAGATGCCTTACCAAGGTCAACCCGTGTGAATCCTAAGTCATCAATATGTACACCACTACTACTATTGGGAATTATTATTATTGGGAATCCACTTGCATTTAAATAAAGGCACTTTGAAAATAACATAATCAATCTTCCAAATCTCCCCAATGACACCATAGAACGCGGTAGTTGTTGATACAATATTTTCATCTTCCGAACTAGAGAAATACATTGATTAGGCTTCAACCATAACCCCACTATTTTGTATTGTACTACGATCATATTTTGATTTTGTATAAAAGGTATAATGACTAATGTCGTATGAAGTCCAAGTTATGACATTAAATATTAGCATGTACGACAACCACTTTAGTATCTCGAATGCACTATGATTATTAGGTACCCTTTTATTAAACTGATTGAAGCTTTTTCACTGATGTACCTTTCAACAATCGAAGCTTCCGGTCACTCTATTGGATACACCCACCTTAAATAATCTGGACCACAAAATCTGATTTTTCTTACTAGATGAACAAGTAAGTGAACCATAATGTCAAAAAATGATGGAGGAAAATACATCTCCAATTGACACAAGATTAAGGAAGCCTCATCTTCTAATTCATCTAATTTTTTGAAATCAAGAAATTTATTACATATGACATTGAAGAATAAGCACAATCTAGTTATAGTTACTCTCACATTTTTTGGTAGGATCAAACTATCTTGTTATAGTTACTCTCACAATCTGGTTATAGTATTTCCTGGAATGTTTAGAAGTGTTCCAATCAAACTATCACACACATTTTTATCTACGTGAATCACATTAAGACAATTTATAACATCAAGACTTGACCAATATGGAAGATCAAAGAACACAGACCTCTTTTTCCATATATTTTTGTCAACTGGCCCTTTTTTTCTCTCTTTCCAAATACAACATTAATTTGTTAATTTCGTTAATAAACTTCATCCTCGGTTAAAGGTTTAGGAGTCATAGTAAACTCTTTCTCTCCATTAAAAGCATTCTGCAATCTACGATAAGGATGACCGAGATTTATAAATTTTTGATGCTCAAGGTAAACGGTCTTTTTTCCAGAATCAAGTTGGTGATAACATGTATCAGATTCACATATAGGACATGCTTTATGTCCTTTGACACTATAACCAAAAACTAAAGTGTATTCATAACGAAAATATAACTCTAAACCTTAAGCATATGAGTATGCATCACAATAATGTGATATTTTTGTTCACTTCTATATCCAATAGAACGGCTAACAAACGACATATATATGAACCAACAACAATATACAACATTGAAGACAAGAAAGGTATTCGGGAGAACAAACAGAATAGCTAATAAATGGTATATATATGAACTAAGAATAATATACAATATTGAACACAAGAAAGGTGTTCGGGGGAACAAACGGAACATATAACAAACGATATATATGAATCAAGAACAATATACAACATTGAACAAAAAAGGGATTGAAAACTGAAGATGAAGAGTATCATACTTCAAAGATTAGGACGAGAACAAGAATGAATATGTTGAAGATAACGATATCGTTGTCGTCTGTGGTTCGCTTGTTCACCTAGGGAAACTTATTAAAGAAATGCATAATAAGTTTTGTTTTAATTTATCAGTAAAACTTTTGATCATGGTTAAACACCAAAAATGCGGTGGAAATTTAAATAATCTAACAATGGTTGAGTCAATCCACCGTAGTGATATCTCTTTTATTTTTTATTTAAAAATACATTTAAAAAAAGACGTGCCTTAATGTTAAAGGAATAAATTATTTGATGGAGTTGAGGTTCGAACCCATGAAAGTTTGATTGTATAACCACAGTTATCTTAACAACCATTATTATATCCTAACAATTTTTAATTAAAAAATATTTTAAAAAAATGTCAGCTCCTGAGTTTAGAGATATCACCACGGTGTTGGGAATAATTGTGGTGAATTAGGCGTTGTTGTTTATGTTTTTTGTAGTAGTGTCAACATCTTTATGGACATGATCATCATCACTTACAAAATTATTCTCAGGGGTCGCATCATCATTCTCCTTATAACTTTTAGACTATGTCTCCAACATACTGGATAGGATGTGTGGCACATCTTTATCAACACCTTGATTTCCCATATTGGATTCCTGGATCTCCTCAGCAAAAGACTTTTAAATGAGATGATGATTTCTTATTGGCTCATACATGAGTGGGACATCAAGCACATTTCCACTAGCGGCTAGATCAAACTTGTCAAAATATGGAATATTATAGAGAGCAATATCTGGATGATACATCTTATAACAAAGATTCAACAGGCTAAGAGGAACACCAATATCAGCCTCACCAAATACAACATCATGTTTATTAATAGTGAAAATTCCAGAAATATGAGAATTCACCTTAATAGGAAGAATCATGTCATAATTACTAATCTTCTTTAGCTTATTCTTCTGAAGGATTAATGGTTATTCAAAGTTGGCAGAACCTCCAGCCTGACCATTAGTCATCCCTTTAGTGAAAACTCCTTGCATGAATCTCATAAAGTCCATAAGCAGTAATTCATAAACATAATTAAGAAGTTGAAACGTTTGGCATGACATCTTTGTTTGCTTCCCAATTTGACACTCCTAATAAATTTTACCTTCTTCAATCTTGAGATCAGTACACATATGATAGCTTTCTCTGCAACAACCCCCAAGCTTTTTGTGCCATATCTCAGTTTCTATATTTACAATATCATACATGATGTCTAAAGCATGATCTTCAACATTATGATCTACAGTGGTAGCAACTATTTTTATTTTTACAAATTTATTTCTCTTATTGTTATCATAAAAAGTAACATTTTTCTTTCTTCTATCAAGTTTCTATTGTAGCTACTGCCAAAATGATAATCTTTCACAAGAAAATACCTTGTGGGGGGTACAAAAATATGAATAAGAATATTAGGCTTGTCATGCCAAACTTGTTAATGATGCAATTGAGACTTCTAATTTCATTGGAGATATAAATGTTATTGGTGTGGTTTCCTACCATACAACTTACAATAGTACAAGGGAATGGAGGAGACCAAATTTATGCACTGGTAATCATCTACGACAGGATGTTAAGACATGTTACCTGACATTATGCATTCTGCTTTCTGGTATACATGTTTGACATGAAGTTGGTACATGTTACCTACATTATGCATTTTGTTTTCTAAATAGGAGTAATACACATTTTCTTTGAATTTGATGGTTCACCAGTATGTATAACCTCTTTCACGTCTTTGAAGGTCAAAACATTATTTGCTTGATTAGATTCACCTTCTTCATCATTAGTGACATTGGAGATTCTTCTTTGTTACCTTGGAAAACTTGAGCATTCAACTTGATTATGTCCAAAATTTGTGAATTTAAGACATTGGAAACAGTTGAGATTTGGTTTTTCACCACCTTTTATTTTATGCTGAAAATTACACCTCTTGGAATTGTTTCGTCGATTGTCTTGGACATTTTAAGAGACATTATTCTTATATCTCATATATAGTTTTATCATGACTTTACTAAATATCTTAGCAAGCCTAATATTTTATTCATAATTACATTCTACTTGGTCTTCACAATCTTCATAACTACCTTTGGCTATCTTATTTAGAGGATTTTTAATACCATAAGTAATCTTTGGTCTATGAACTGCTTCTCCTTCATTAAAATTCTCCATCTTGAACAGAATAAGAATCCTATAAAACACCTAAACAAAATAGGGCGTATGCTCTAATTCCAATTGAAATTTTGTTCTCATGAGGACAGATGTTGGACCAGATGCTTGGGACAATGTGTACAACTGGTTTATGATAGATGATAGATTATGGGGACACATGTCAGACCAAATGTCTGAAACATTGTATACTAGAAAATATAAGTTTGCAATTAAGATGATAAATGTATAAGGCAAATAAATAACATAATAGAATTGGTAACCCAGTTTGGTGAAACCACACCTACGTATAAAGGGAACTCAACCCAAGAAATGAAATTCACTATTTTGAATTAGTACACTTACTCTTATAGAAACAACAACACCATGTTGTTCAATGCCTCTTCCTAATCCTAGTGACTTTCTATTTAGAACTCGAAGATGGCGATGATAGATTAAAGGGTGGTGGTCGCAAAGATGGCGTAGTAGAGGAACCGTCGACGGCCATAAACAATGGTGATAGTGGCAGGAACAATGGAAACATAAACAACAATGTTTATGATGATAGTTATGCCAATATAGGCGAAAATGACCAAGAGGGTTCCTCATAGTCCCTCACGGACAATATTCCTGAGATGAATGGGGATAACTATAATGAATGGGACCAAATTATTCTCTTGGTATTGGATAGAAAAGGGAAGCTTGGTTTTTTAACAAGAGTAGAAGTTGACCCGACAGGAGGAGACCCTCTTTATAAACAATGTAAATCTGATAACTCGTTTCTTATGTGGTGGGTAAGCTCTATGGAAACTAGAATAGGTAAGCCTTGCATGTTTTTTCCTTATGAAAAGGAAGAGTATAAAGGTGTTAAGGAAAGATATTATGATATTTAAGACTTCTCACAAATATTTGGTTTAAAATTAAAGGTATGGCATGCGAAACAAGGTGACAAAAGTGTAACTGCTTATTACAATGAGTTGTTGACCCTGGGAAATAGTTGGATCTCTATTATGATGACAATTGGAGGTGTACAAAAGATAGTGTTACGTTTATTAATAGGATATAAAATGATTGGGTTTTCATGTTTCTCGATGGGCTCAATAAAGACCTTGATGAGGTAAGAGTAGAATTTTAGGAAAAATATCATTTCCAACTCTTCGTGAAACTTTTACATAAATGATAAGGGGAAGGCGCAACAAGTTATCATGATGGGAAAGACACCACGAAGCTCTGAATCTGAAGGCTCTACTTTGGCTACTAGGAACCTTGATGAGGTAAAAGGTTATACAAAGTTCCTTGGTTTGATCACTGCAAGCGTGAATGGATATGTGTGAAACTTGTTAGAAGCTTAAAGGAAAACCTCCTAACTGGAAGAAGAAATGTGTTCGTGCATTTCAGGCTAGTAATTTTGATCAAGGGCAGAAAATCTCATCGCCTTAGCTTCAACTAACTATGGAACAACTAGACAGGCTTTACAAACTTCTCGAGTTTCCAACTTATTCTTTCTCTATAGCAATAAAACTTAATTCTACATTTCTTAGTGCCAGTCCAAGTCATACTTGGATAGTAGAATCAGGTGCCTTTGATCACATGACCGGTGAATCTACTTTGTTCTCTTCACGTAGTCCATGTGCAGGTAACCAAAAATAAAAATCATAGATGACTCATTTTCATCCATTGCATGTAAAGGGTCGATTGTGTTGTCATCAATGTTAACTCTTAAAAATTTCCTTCGTGTTTCAAATTTATCATGTAATTTAATCCCTTAGTAAACTAGACCAAGATATAAATTATCAAACTAATTTTTTTCCAATATCACTGTGTCTTTTAGGATATGAATTCGGGGAAGATGATTTTCAGTGCTAAGGTGAGTGGAGGACTCTACTACCTTGACATTGGATTTGTATCACGACTACCTTAAAAAAACAATAAGTTCCTACTTTGAGTCTTTTTTTTGTCTTGAATAATAAAGATGACGACATTATGGTGTTGCATTTAATATTGGGTCATATAAGTTTTCACTTAAAGCAATTGTTTCCTAAGTTATCTCATAATAAGAACTTTTCTTTGTTTAAATGTGAAGCATGCGAGTTTGCAAAGTATCATCATTCCTAATATTCAATACAGCCTTATAAACCATCAAAACTTTTTCAATTATTCAATGGTGTTTAGGGCCCTGACCATACAAATACACACTCTCTCAAAAAATGGTTTATCACATTTATAGATGATCATACAAGAGTATGTTGGGTGTACTTTTTAAAGAGGAAAACGGATGTTTGTCATGATGTAAAAAAAGAATTTATAATCATGTAAGACCAATTTCAAACAAATATCCAAGTCTTTAGAAAGTGATAATGGCTAAGAATATTTTAACAGTATCCTGGATGATTTTTTTCTAAAAAATGGGATTTTACATCAAAGTTCATGTCCTAATACTCATCAACAAAATGGAGTTACCGAAAGGAAAAGTAGACATTTATTAGAGGTTGCGAGAGCTATACTTTTCTCGAGTAAAGTACAAAACCATTTGTGGAGCGAAGATTTTTTAACAGTTGCATTTAATTAACAGAATACCCTCCAAAATTCTCAATTTTCAAACTCCAATTAATACCTTCAAAGAATGTTTTCCTGTTACTCGTGTTTTAAATGATGTGACATTAAAAATATTTGGTTGCACTCCTTCTGTTCATGAACATAAAAATGTTTGAAAATTAAAACCACATGCTATAAAATGTGTCTTTTTTATACTCCCCAACCCAAAAAGGATATAAATGTTTTGATCCAAAAAACAAGAAAATGTTTGTCATTATGGACGTTACATTTTTTTATAATAAACCTTTTTTTGATGACACTCATCTTCAAGGAGGGATATTGTAATACGGTGGGAGAAATGACTTGGGTGTTTTTCATTTTATTACAATTGTTGCAGATAGCAAGAGTCTCCACCGACTTTTCTTTTATCCAATAAGGAAAGGGTGAAAAGAATAGGAAAGACCTTTGAGATGTTTTCTTGAGTTCGGGGGGAGGGGGGGGGGGGGGGGGGGGGGTAGGTTATGAAAAGGGAAAGTGTTAGAACCCTTTCCATCCATAGTTATCTATGGTCTCTTAGTTTCTTGCTAGATAACTTTTGAAATTGCTTTGTTTGAAATGTATTTGTGGTGGGTTTTGAAAGTATTTTTGAAAAGCGTCTTCGTTTAGGAAAACTTTGTAATGATTCTCGTCTCTATAAGAATGCATACAAAGTGTTGGACTTTTGAAAATATTTCATGTTTTTTAAAGTGTTTGGTGTATTTGAAAAGATGTTTTTGAAGATGGGTTGTGAGCAAGAAACTAAGAACGTTTTACCTACTCAAAAGTCTTTTGTTCATTTCTTTCTTCCTTTGATATTGTTATCTCACCATTGATTGGTAAGTAACCCTATCTTTAGATGTGAAGGGACGGGTGTGGGTCATCGTATAGTCATGGATAGCAATGTTGTGAGATATCTTAGCATTTTTCTTGAGGGACTAAGATCATTTGTAAGGCAACATTCGTAGCGTCATCGAGGGACTATGATCTTGTATTTTTTTATTGTTCTTGCTAAGATATCTCACATGCATATCATGACCATTTTAAGGCAACAAAGTGGAGTTAACCCTAGAGGTGTAAAGTGTGCAAGTGTTTTGTCTTTCATGCTTGATTTATCTTGAATTATGGTTTTCTAATATTGATTTTATCTTTCCATACAATCCCT